TGTTTTCCTTGCTCACACTGCAACCGACGCCTTGCTCTGAAGCAAGTCCGTTCGAAACGCTGGTTGTGCGCGGCCGCGCAACGCTTGGAATCATCGGCGTTTGCTCGCAAAGCTTGAACTAGAAGCCAATCGCAAAGCAACACAAACAGGTGATCTCAAAGTACGGATCATCGGCGCAACACTGACAGTGGTTCGCAACAAGTTCTTGCAAGGTTACCGGTTGAGCAGGAACAGGGATACGCCAAATGTGGAAAGAAGACTCCAAGACTTTGGGTTCATCACAGCCAACGCAGGACAGACCCAGAGATTCAGACATGTCAACCAAAGAATGAAAGATAGGCTCCAAATCCAAGTGCTGCTGCAAACAAACCACTGCATCTTGCGGTTGGCCTCTGACGAGTTTGTTTCGCTGACAAAAACTTTCCCATTGAGAAGGAGACAAATCCAGCAAGAGATTCCGGAGATGTGGGTCACGAATGGTACTCAAATCAACCTGCGAATGCTGGGCAACACAGCTGAGACAGCGAATTGCAACCGCTGCAAAACAAGTATTTCCTAGGTTCGGTAAACCCCAAGGCCAGGGGAAGCTGAGACGCACACAGGACCAGAGGACGGAGGCAAAGGAGGAAAATCTACATGGTAAGCTTCCTCCAATGGACCAAAAACGGTTTGAGACTGACAAGTGACCAGGACCGCCGCCTTTTGTGTCTCCAGGAGCAGATGTGTGTGTGTGTGTTCTGCGGACTCTCCTCGACGGGTTTTTCTCCTAGGTTTGACATCTTCCACATGTCGGAGCTCAAAGGGACTTTTGTCAGGCACGGCAGTTCCAGGAATAAGCTGGAGAAGCAAAGTACACTTCAACCCCCTAATGTTGAAAACAATATCAGCTGGATGAGGCGGCGCTGCAATGATCATGGAACCACGAAACGAAGACACCAAGTACGGTTTGAATTCAGTGGTGGTCAATATAGCCACCACAACAGCTGGGCCCAGAGTCTTGGGAACATTGTTGGCGGTGACTCTCTGGGACAAAAACAGAATTTGGCTGCACTATGGCTTTGACTTCTCTCTCGCGCCTATTCTCGTTCCGATCCCCGGACAACACTCCAAGGAGCTTTGAACCCTGCCAAGTAAAGACTCAGGCTCTGACGAATTTGGGCAGCCGAGCCCTCCAAAACAGGACAGCCAGGCCAAATCCAAATGGTGGAAAGATCCTTGGCTTCGGGCAACTCATGAATATCACGAGCAAGAATGGCATGGTGGGAAGTCCCACCTGTCAGCCAATTCAACGCATCGGCTTTGGGAACCCGAACCGAGATCCGGATGATGTCCTCTCAGACACTGTGGCCAGCAGGCGTCCAACTGCTTACTTTTTGCCCTGTTGGATCCCCAAGCAAACGGCTGGCTTGCTGGTTGAGGTTTGCAACCAGGATGTGTGAAAGCCGATGGGACTTGGCATCCTTTGTCTTACCTTTGCCACGTCCCTTGCCTTTAGTGGAATCGCTAGCAGGCTGACCAGGTCTGGATGCCTCTTCGAAAACAATGGCAGCGTCACCATCAGTCAAATCTTTCCACCATTCCACCAAGATTTTACGCTTTCAATGGCCGCCAGGGAAACCGTGGTCCAGTCCACAGGAATCGTCTCTCAGGACTCATGTGGTCGGTTTCCAGGTCCCCCAGTTGTTGCTGGAACTGCTCGACTCCAAAAAGCTGGACTTGAGGATGTTGCTTGGATTTATGAACGTTTGCATGCAGATGCTCTTCTGGCTCCGCTGGCTGAGGATGATACCAAGTGGAAAACCTTGGGTCATGTCTTTGTCTACAACAGCCGAAAGGTCCAAACCCAAACCCAAAAGAACAACGTCTCCGATGTTGGTGTCAGATGGATTGCTTTGCGCGTGCTTCAACGTGGTCGATACAACCGGCTTGCGGCTTTGAAAGATGGTGGACAGTGGGATTCGCTTCGTGCAAGTGTGCGACTTTGCAAGCTGCCAGTCCAGGGGCAGGCGCCCCCTTCCAAAGAGTGGTATCGCAAACAAGACCGCAGACGCGGTCACAGCTCTGTTGGAGACGACGCTCAACAACCTCTCACGCCTTCCCTGGATCGAAGTCGAAGCCGGGCAAGGCCTCCGGCGACGCAAAGTGTTGTTGCCGCCCTTTCCGAAGCTAGAATTGCCGCGGTCTGTGCGCTTGCCTTTGGTTTGGCTTTCGTTTCGGAAACCTCTTTGACCTCTATGGGTCAGGACATATTGACCCGGCAGTTGCAACAAGCTGGAAGATGTGTGTGTGATTTGGGGTGCGCCTGATTGGCGGCGAAGGTGTCCGTCTCTCTTCTTTGTCGTTGCCCGCTGAACTTGCCGGATATTGGATGGACGGTCGCGTTGTTGCAGAAAAGATGCCCCGGTCGCAAGGCCTTCATGGTGTTACTTGTGTTGCTTGCTATGGTCACAAGCATGATGCGATTGTGAGGGAATATTTGCTAGGTAAAGTTGTCAGCTGCTGGATTTCTACGCTGTCTGGTCATGTTGTTTGCGATTCTTGCGCTTTGCATCAACTCTTGCGTCGAGGGTATTCCACTGCCAATATTGAGCAACAGGTGATTTGTTGCGCCCACAATTCCCACGCGGGCTCTGTGATTGATCATGCCCTTTTTTCACCATCACTCGCTCATGCTTGTTGGTAGTGAAGTTCTGCCTGCAGCTCCCTTCCCCACGCATAGGCCAGTTTGTGCAGATTTTGCTTTCAAGCCGGTTCGCGATTCTGGGTGCACTATGCAGGTTCCTCGTGAGTTCCCAGTCAGCAACTGTGTGCCAACTCCTGATGCTGAGGTTGTTTATGCTCGTCACTCCAGCCATATAGGTAAGCCAGGTAAGCTAATTCTCATGCAGGGGTATGTAGTTGAAGTGTATACTGATACTGCGTGGACTCAGCTGGCCGAACAGAGGCTGGCGTGTCAATGTCGTCGTAATGGTAAAGCTGTCGGCTCATCTCACTTTGGTCGAGCAGAGAAACCCATGCCGAGACCGTGCCCATGTCCGGGGAGATTTGGATTTTCGGCGACTGGAACGCGCTCGGTCGGGTCTTGCAGAACTTTGTTCATGTTGGACTAACTGTGCAAGCCAAGGTCACAGTGAAGCCATATGGGCGAACGCTCGCCGTCGTATCAGGCTTGTGTTTTCCGATCACACGTTGCCAACAAATCGCGCAAAAGTTCTGCTCGACGCCGCCCGTCAGCCCCGCGCGAGGACTGGCATGAAATGCGGCGAACAGCTTGCATAAGATCAGAGCCCGAAATGGCAAGCGCGAGCTGCTGGGCAGCATGCTCCCAACCCATATCATCAACAGGCGGTGAAGGCCAGCGCTCATCGCTGTCTGCCTGACGCTTTTGCCTAGCCAAAATCGGTTTCCAGATGGCTTCAACCTTTTCAGAACAAGCCGCGTTGTCAATACTTTGCCAACGGGCATGTTGCGCTTTAGCCCATCGGAATCGCTCGGCCTGATATATAGTGTTTCAAACAAGACTGCCAGTCTGTTGAGCGTTTCGTTTCTCTATCTCCTGACGAAGCCACTCCAAATGCTCCTGGCGTGTCACTGTTCTCCACGGAATTGCTCCATCCGCCTCTTGGCATCCCTGTCTTTCCACGGTTGTGACGACTCTCATCCCAAAGAAAGCCAGTGCTGGCTGCATGCATGATCCGGCCACTTCGGCCAATTTCTGTGGCGTCAGTGGGCTGCGGTGCTTGCCAAGCACCTTAAATTCATGCCTTGCTGGAACGTTCACTTCCCTCTTGCTGCCATAATTTCGCGCTGGAGAGTCCGCTCAATCGGCCATGGCGTGCGACCTTCGTTGCCAAAACGCTGCCATTTTGGGTACTCATGTTCACCTCGTTTCATACGACGCGTGCAAATGTTTTGCTTCTTCCCCACGGCAAGCTGTCCATGACAGTTTGATTGCTTGTGGCGTTCATCCAAGTGTGGCCAACGCCCTGCGCAACCTTTGGACCAATTTGCATCGCATTTCGAAACTTCAGGGTCGGTTCTGCGATGCCTCCTTTGAGTCCCGCAATGGTTTGTTCCAGCTTGATCCAACTGCTCATGCCTGCTTGGCCACCCTTTTATGCAAACCAATCAGAGGTCTTGGTGAACTTTTCCCGGAAGTGTCTGTTTCAGTGTATGCCGATGATGTCTTGATTTCTTCCAGCGACACAGAACAGTTGCTTGCGGCTCATGCCTTCTTTGCGCGGTGGTCGCAAGAGCACGATGTTGATTTGAACACAAAAAAATGCACCTGGGCCAGCGCTTGCCCCAACCCAGAGATTCTTGCCTTTCGCATAGATGGTGTCGAGCTGCAACGCGCTCAGGTTCTTAGGCGGGGTCCGAGAAAAGAACGAAGTTTTTCACTCTTGTGCAACGGTTTCGTAGCCTGCCTATGGGTTACGACCTGCGGTTCAAAGATCTAGGTAGCTTGATGACCATGCTCACCTATTCGGCCATCACATGGGGCCCAAACACTGCTGTCGATCAGCGCGCGCAGGGAACAGGTTCGTCCTTTCTTGGTTCACGCAAGGGATGTGGATAACGTGGTGCAGCGTTTCCACAGCATGGTCCTGACTCACAAGAAAGAGCTGCGGGCGCACAGTTTGTATTGCCTCCATGCTTTGCGAGAAGACATGCGCCAAGCCTTTTTCTTGAAGGTAGGTCAGAGAAGAAGAGATATCTTGCCACTGTTGATCGCCAGACCCTCCGATATGTTCTTGAAAACACTGCAGTTGAGCGCCAGCCAGTTCTGCGTTGTATCACGCAGGGGCCATTCTTGCGGCTGACCGTAGGCATAGGTCGTCCAAAGGGGTTGTTTCATCTCTTTGCCCATTCTGCCACTCCAGTGTCTTTCTAAGAAAGAGTTCTGGCTGATGTGCCTCTTTGTAGCTTGCAATTTTACTTGTGCAGACTGTGCCCGTGTCAGGGGCTTGCCCACTGACCATTGCAATAGACACATGGAATTACCAGTTTTTGCATTTTTGTGCACCATATTGGCATTTTGGGGTTGTCTGATTTGACTGTGGCTTCTTTCGAAGACTGCAGGTCAGCGATCCCTCGGCAATTTTTGTTGCCGAATAATGGACCAACATGAAGAAGTCAATGATGAAATCATCCGCAATGAAGTCCATGAAAAAGGCTGCGATGAAGGTCATGAAGAAGAAGGCCGTGAGCAAAATTGCACGCGGCAAGCGGGCAAAGGCTTCAGTCTTCAAGGGCAACAAGGAGAAAACCGCATCAGGCCGTGCCAAAACCGATCTCATGAAGAACAAACGAGGCAAGGTCGTGTCGAAGTTGTAGAATGCCGCTGGCAATAAGGCCTACAAAAACATTTCCGCATGGAACACTGCTCTGATGCAGGCCAGGAAGGAGCTGAGCATCAAGGGTTTCTGTGCCGTGAATGTAAAGACGGCTCAGGGCAAGGCCCTCTATGCCAAGGCCAAGGAAAACATTGCCGCATGAGGCGCATCTAGTCGGATAGGTCAAGCTTGCGTGGTAGTTCACGGAACATTGGACCTGTTCTGGGGCGGATGGGCTCAACATGTACAAAATGCCTTGGTTGAGCTGCATCGTGAATCCGTGCGAATCTCTGGATT